CAGAACCGCGCTGCCGTGGAGTGCCTCGGAGCCGGGAGGCCGCAGTGTGAGGGGAGCTGGGACTGCCTCAGAGCGGGGAGCTGTCTCGGAGAAAACGTGACGCCTGGGCTCCCTGAAGTGGTTAGCTGACGCTGTTGTCTTTTGTCGGGTGTTTGGGGGTTTTTTCTAAATAACGATCAATTTTGCTTTTCGTTGGCTGTTTCAGTTGTTTCTGTCCCCTGCTGTTTGTTCCTGCTAGCTCGATGCTGTGTTTCTAGCTTCATAAATGGCTAACTTGGCGTGCATGACCTTTTTATGTGTGTCAGCTATGAATGGAAACTTTCCGGTAGCCTGCTTTGGCAGGGTCTTGTCCTCCGTTTCCTTTTCCTCCGAGGACGTTTCAGCTTGCTTAGTTGTGCTGCCTTGACCAGTGGGCTTTTACTGTGGCAGTGCGTTAAGTGAAGTGGCGAGAAGTAGTGGTGATCAGGTGGGACACTGAAGAGTTAAAATGTTCTGTTCATGTCTATTTTTTTTTTTTAATATAATTTGTATTATCTCTATTTGTGCATATAAATCACACTTAATGACTAGATCTATCTGCCGTGATTGCAGGAGCTTCTGTAAAACAATCTGTGTCATATGGCTTACTGTGTGACGTTTTGCTTTTTTTATCAGCTCCAAGCCAAATGTGGTCTTCTCTCAAATTATAGGTTCTTGAGTGTGGAGTCTGTGAAGATGTATTTTCTTTGCAAGGTGACAAAGTTCCCCGCCTGCTTTTGTGTGGCCATACTGTCTGCCATGACTGTCTTACCCGGCTTCCCCTTCATGGCAGAGCAGTTCGTTGTCCTTTTGATCGACAAGTTACTGAACTAGGTAAGAAAATGTAAGTCTAAAGTTCTTAAAATGTCAGCCAAGAAGATCTAGAAGATAACGCTAGATACAGGTTGTTAATGATCCACTCAGTGATAATATTTCCAAACAGTAAATGTGCCCAGTTCCTTTTAATTCAGAGAACCTCACAGCACTTTTAAGCACTAGTAAAATAGATAGCTTAGAAAAAGAAAGTCAGGATTTTACCTTTATGTTCTCGAACTTGGGCTTGCGAGCTTTATACCTTAAAGTCTTTTCATACACCTATATTTACAGAGGGACTACTCTGTTTTAAATTAGTGTCTAAAGGTTCCTGAATGGGTATTAGTTTCTGACTAAACTGTGCAATTAAATAGGTAGTGTTTTTGACAAACAGATTTGTCTGAATTCATGAAGAAGTGATTATATCAGTGATAACAAACCTGTTCTTTAAAATCTGAAGTAATTCTATATATGCAATAACTGATAGTGGCAGGCTATCAACAGGAATTCCCCTACTGTGGAGGGTCTGCAGACAGTGTTTGAGAAGATAAGATGCAGCTTTTATCCAACAGTGGAAGTTTATTTTAGGTCAAACATGACAGATGCTTGTAATTCCTTCAGGATAGGAATTGCCTGTTCAACATAGAGTTACAGAGTTACCAGAATTTGTACCAAAGAGAATTGTTTAATAGAACTGGCTCTGGCAGTTTTGAATAGCACAGGGGAAAAAAAAGGTGTTCGAAGGGGGAGAATCCTCATGGAAGGACATGTCTAATCTAGTAATCCATGAAAGAAAGGTTTACATATCAAATTTGGTCAAATAAGAACTTACTGTGCAGTAAGAGAATCTGCTAGATTGTAGACCAAACCGAGAGGAAGATTAAGGCAGTCTGTGGGTTGCTTCATGGACATAGGAGCCGGGAGAAGAAATATCAGTCTTATATGAAAGAACAGTTTGTTTTCTGGTGGAAGTGAGGTGCTAAGTATGAGCATCATGAATGATCATCAGTCTAGGAGATGTGGTTAAGAGTCACGATTTCTTGTACTTCTTACCTATGATTGCACAGCTGCACGAGACTTCTTAAAGTGTGCTTTTAACGGGGAGACTGTTAGAGCACAAGACCCAACCCCGCTGTTGTAAAACATTTCTGTCCAAGACCACTGCTTGTGTCTTTTAAAGTAAAAGTAGCATTGTTGTTATAAGGAACTTGTCACTTCTTAGTTTTTATTGTGCATTTTTTTGCCAGGCATCTAAAAGTATCCTATCATATTTTTTTTCTGGGTTTCAGGTTTAACAAAAATGAAGTTTATAAAAACGTTTAGAGTTTTTTTCGTCTTACATAATACTGAGGAGCTTCTGATGAAACACAGTGAAATGTTATTAAACTTGTAAGGCTCCTGCAGATAGGAAGAGGGAAGAAAAGTTTCAGCTTTTGTGTCTAGGATAGTAGATTTGCATCCTACTGGCTAGTACTAGAAAGAAGGATGATATGCTGCGACTATCAGTTGCTCAGAACACTTGATAGGTAGAAAATTTTAACAAAACAGATTGAAAGTAAAAATACTTCAGTGAATACAAATGTTCTGCCTGGTGGTTTGCGGCAGAAGAGGTTCATAGCCATATCTAGTCTTACCAGATCCATAGGAACTGTCTTGAATGTTATTGCTTCCAGCATCTAAAAATGGGATGTTTTGTGGAGGGCAGCTCATCATGTCCCATCTTTGGGGCATCTGTGCATTTGTTGTCTTGCTGTAAATCACCTAGTGGTGACTACCGTTGCTTAGATCTGCTGCACTTGTAGTTCTGTTTCCTTCTGAGAGCTCAGGAGTAGAGCTGGGAGGGAGGCATGGCAACTCTGGGCCCAGGGAACTTCTCATCCTTCCCTCCCCTCCGTTTGAGGGTATGCGAGAAAGCAAGCTCTATTTTCACCCATTTCTGCAATTGCCATTCTGTCATTTAATGAAGGACTTTTAGGAAACTGTTTAGTGTCTAAATCTAGATTATAGGGTCACTGCCAAGAGAAAGTTCTATTGAAAGACAAGCTGTATAATCAGCGTGTAAAGCTACCTGTGCTGAAGAAAATTTAATCAGTAACTGTGTATTTTATGGATGCCTTTAGTTGACCATTTAGCCTATACAGTTCAGCAGATAGACTTGCTTGTTTTCCTTTGCTGTTATTACTGTATCACTTAATCCTATATTCATCCAAGTTTTCCTAGGGAATCTTGGGAATTTTTTAAAGAAATGCTCAGGGAACTATGTATGTATAGACATAGCCGTACTTTCACCATTCTGAAGTAAAGACTTGGTTTAAATTTACTGGCTTGTCTCTTCTATATACACATATATAACCATATGGGAAGGCAGATTTAGAAGTACTTTGTCAATCAGGATTTCTGGAAATACAGAGTCTGCAAGTGAAAATTGACAACATGTCATTTACATACTTAGCAAAATATTCTAATAGTTCATAAAATCTTGCTATGAGAGAAAATATTCAGTAATGAACTGGTAGGACTAAAGCCTGCCCAAACCACATCACTTTGCAGAGTGGACTAAACAAAGCTCCGGGTTTTGGTTTTGGGTTTGGTTTTTTTTTTTGAGTTCTTTAATGAAATTGCCTGTGCTTAGTCTCCTAGTGGAGGATTTTAAATGAGTGTGTACATGTTGAAGATATGTGAGCTATCTAGTGCTTATCTTTGACTGGTTTTAACGTTCTTTAACAGAAAAAACCTCTTCAACTTTCAAAATTTTGAAGCCATATATTCTGGAGATTGTGTTGACTTGAACAATTCATTTGGAGAAAAATCTATAAAATGGTCTTTGTGGAAGAGAGTCCTATTAAAGCCTTTTTGTTGAAGTATCTTGATTGGGGAAAGAGGTGAATAATTTGTTGCAAACTGCTTTCTGTCTTCTTCCTGCATTGGTTTAGTGGGTTGTTTGTGTGTTTGGTTTTTTGTTTTGTTTTGTATACGTGGACCAGGGAACTATTGGGAAGGATGTGCTTATGCAACAGCTTTGGAGGCTCTGGCTTTTTACTTTAACTAAGCAACTCTGGTAAAGAGCCCTTAACAGTTTATGGCTCATGTGAACTCTCCTTACCGTCATCACGTTACAGGACTGAAACTATTTTCTGTCATTAGAACTTGTTGAACTGGTGTATGCAGGTGTTGGCAACCGTCATAGAATCAGTCCCTTTGCTATTGCTTACATTTATATGTTCTTTTGCTGGTGTTTGAGTGCTGAGATAAAAATTCAAACATTGTGCAAGAAAATGTGGCTATTACATAACATTCTCTCAGCTTTGTTCAGACATTTAGACAAAAGTTGCTCTTTTATTCCTTGCATTATTTATAAACTTTTTGCAGACTAGCTTCATGCTTTTGAAAATGACATCTGTAGTTGGCTGGAGTCAGTCTTAATATCTTCACTCTGTCACTATCTCATTTCTGGCTGACACACTTCCTGCTATTCATGTCTTATTCTTCTTTTGAGAAGGACTGTCAGATTGTGTAGAGGTTTTGTAACGGCTGCAATCATCCCTTGTACGCACAAGGATGAGATCACTAGGCGCTCTTACATTTGTGACCAACGCAGAATTTCAGCTAAAGTCCGAGAGATTAAATAGCTGTATTTCCATGGCTCATCTTCTAGTGTTTTTAAATACAAAATAAACACTTGATCAGACATGTTGAAAATGTGTATGTTAAGTAAGAGATAATTTTTTTAGTAGATACAGTGTAAAAGGAAGCAAAATGACTGTTTCTCAAAGCATCCTTATGGCAGATACCAGTGAAATGAGACATGACTTTCTGTATCATAATGCGTGTTTTGTAGGGTGCTTACTGGCTATAAATTCTGTTTCAGTAGATTGATAGTTAATACGTAAGCTTTGCCTGTTTTTCTGTTGGTATCCCAGATGGACAGTGCACTGACAATGTGTAACATCTATTAGTAAATCTCTGGATATATAATAAGAAGTTAAAGAAAGAATATAAACTTTGTGTGTAACTTTTTCTCCTGACAACTTCAGGTTGTGAATTAGAAAATAAACACAGAATAGCTGCAGTTGTGTCTTATGCTGGTTACGTTTCAGTAGATTAGTTCTGCTTTGACTTTTCTGGCTTGGCTTTCTCCTTTTGCTAAGCATTGAGGAGAAGTAATGTGATTAAAATCAGATACGGGAATGTAAACTGAGGAGAGTATTTAGTTGGGTTTTTTTTTGTTTGTTTGTTTTTAAAAGAAATTAAAGCCTCTGAAACTAAATACTTTTGCAACAAACTGTAATGATTGAATGGCTTTTTCCTCTCTCAGTATTATCCAGTGTTTGCTTAAAGGCTAAGACAATGTTTGCATAAAGGCTAATTTGCTATTTCGTAAATAGGTTTATCCTTTTGGTGTGTGTAAATCCATATATACTCTGCTATTAATGACTATCTGGATTAGTGGCTAATCTGGAGATACAAGGTCCACATTAGGATCAGCAGTCCTTAAATTGGTGTGTTGCTATTGTGAGTATTTTATATACTGTAGTAACTGCAGGTTGTGCACAGTCAGTTTGCTACAGGACAGTGCTGTTCTAAACACTGTAGAAGAGAACTGTCTAGCCACTTCTCTGTGGTTTACTTTCTGGGAGTTAGTGCCTAGAAATCTGTTTAGATACAGTGTCAAGAAATCTAGACTCAATTTACAAATTGGTTTGACATAATTTAGAGTCTAAAAGTGGATGTTGTGGTCTGTATTTCTTCAACTTGTATTGAGAGGTGACTCTTTGCTCTGGGTTATGAAAAACACTGGCCTGCTGGGAGTGCTAAAGCTAAACAATAACTAAGCTCTGAAGTCAGAATATATCAAGGTAGATGACTGTGCTGGTGCTAGCTGTAATTGTGAAGGACAAGAATATAACTTCTTTAAACTCCTTCAAGATCTGTGGCAAACAAAAGTTAAAATACTTCTTTTTTTGTTCGTAATTTGTTTTGTGGAGTGCACTGAGCTTAGATTGAGTGTTGGTAGTGCTGTC